ACATAAAGCCCTAAGAACTAATTTTCACTACCAAAACCTCACAATGTTTCAGTAAATGATACTTTCTCTAACAATTTTAGCCTTGCCCCATAAAATCCCAGAGCGTACAGCATGAACATAACTAAAAGATTAATTTCCCCAAAGGGTTTATTAGCTTTCACCTTTCTTTCATCTGAATACCAACAGTTTTGCTTTTACTGAGAAAGTGGTTGGAAATGCAATTGCAAGGCAAAAAAAAGAGAATTTGCTTTCAACCAAAAGGTTGCTTCTGACTTAGAGACAGGAGGAGATTATAGTTGATTACGCATTTATTAAAAAAAGAAAAAAAAAAGCAGCTTCTTATTGCTATTTTCACTTTTTTTTTTCTCTCAGAGCGCTAATTTACCTCATCACTAAAGAAGCTTTTGTCTTTTTTACCCACTTATTTCAAACAATTTTAAGATTTTATACGACAGAACAGTGGGACTGATCTAGTTCTGGTTCCTATATTCTGAATAACAAATACCTGACAGAAGAATTACTCAAGCTGTTTTTGTTTGTACTTTTATTTTTGACTGTGTTTTTCCCCCATCTTTAATCTTTCTGATGCAATTTTAGCATCTTTCCCAAAGAAATTGATAACGGAGCTCACTGTGATGGCAAGAAGTATTGGACAGAAACAACGTAAAAAAAGGCTCAAATTGTTTAGCTCCTCATGAGATCAGATAATAAACTCTGATAAATTTTCAATCACTCCAGGATAGCACAAGATTCTATCTCTCTTCTTTGATGCTGACTATCTGCTGTTTTTCTAGATTAGGAATCACATAGTGTCCACACAGAAAGCCAGCAACACTAAGAATCAAAGGCTTGCAGAAATATTTTCTAGACAATATACTTCTTCATATTCATATCACATTTGATTATTGTAGGGGAAAGGAAGAGTCAGAAAGGAGAAGTACTAACAGTTTCGGTCTCATAAGGTTTCCCTTCTCCCATCAATCACTCTCTTTAAAGATCAAGGTAAGTAGATTATAATGTTGAGTTACTGATTATTTTGTAAAATCACACAAATTACCAAAAATGTACAGTCAAAAAGTTTTGCTAGAAAAAAAATATATTTCTATTTTCTTGACAGTGGTTTCCCATGGTGTGAATTACTTATCGCGTGGACTGACATGCAAAAACAGGCTTGAGCTGTTTACCCATTTTCTGTAGCTTAGTAGTGAGCTGTATAATTTGAAACTTCTAATACACTGATACTAAAAATGTGCTGCCAATTATTACAGTACTGCTATTCCCTGAGATATGGGATCACTGGGGTTTTGGGCTTGTTCCTTTGGCGAGTCCCAGCTTCCCAGCAGAGCTGGTCTCCAGACAGCGCTGGGGCTGTCCCTTGGGAAGTCCCCTCTGATGGCAAAGTAGCACCTCACTGGATTGCTTCATGCAGACTTCTCAGAGGACCGGCTTTGCACTGCAGCACCAACATCAGGGGCACATCCACAGGAATGGCCCGCTGCACCGCAGCTCTGTCTGTAGGTACAGCATAATCCAATGACCTGATCATCCCTCAAGGGGAAAAGATCACACAAAGCGAGTCACCTAACGCTACTCTGTGATGTGTTCATTCTTCATGCTAATTAATGGCATCAAACTAAATTTTTCAACATTTGATTAATGTACCAGTGTTACAAGATGCAGGTGTTTCAGGAAATGTATTCCTTGAAAAATTGTTAGAAAAAGTTATATTTTAAATTTCTCTAGTTATACAAAGCTGATAAGGCCAAGGACATGAAGCAATGTATTAAAAAAATTACATGGACACAAGATATAAAATGGGGGAAGAGAGGACAATGCTAGGTTATTATGGATAATTTTGAAACACACCTGCATGATTTAGAAACCTATTTAGTAACTAATGGCACAAAGAATCCCTAAGTCATCTTTAAAAACAGAAGCTTTTGAAAACTCAGCCATAGGCTGTCAGGACAAGAGCCAACTGACAAGAATTCACAACAACCTCATGCTACAGACTAGTCTTTTGGGTGGGAGGTGTTTCTAGAAACATCTGCCACTATGCACTATAGAACATGCAGTATGGGAGGAGAAGGCCATCTCTATAGATGCAGAATGGTAACTTCTTTGGGGCGCACACTGGCACCCACATCTCTTGCAACTTCCCATCTTCATGGAGCACATGGATTCCAAGTGCCCAGCACTAGGAGGGCACTGTGTGGGCAGCAACTTGATGAATGGATAAAGCCGTGAGTTGGTTTGAGGACATTTTAATTCTGTTCTCAGATCTGACATGGATCTGTTTGGTAACACTAAATTAATCATTTTACCATAATTCCAGTGTCTCAGACAGTACCATCCTGTAGCATCTAATGACATGACCCCTTTACAGACTGCATGCATGCAAATGCTTTGGGGTTAAGCATGGTTATTTATTAATTTTACTGAAACCAATCAATTTTGAAAGGAATATTTCATGCTTCTCTGGATTAGACCATAGCTGCCTAATCATGTTCATCTCCATATAAACCCCTTTCAATATAGTTTAAATATGAAAAAGCCTTTCAAACAATTTCACTTCTTTCATATTAAATATTTAATATGGAAAGTCTGAATTACCAAAAGCATTCTTTTCATTGTCACTTTTATTAAATAAGAATTTGCCTAGTTATTTTGTGCATAATGTAAAGGGGGAATAACATGATTAGCAAGTAGTTCCTTGAAAATACTTACGAAAGTTGGGTTGGGGCATGAAGTATTAAAATGTACATATATGGTTCCAATATTATTTCTTAATGAGTGCAAGGAGTCATGATGAAGAATATTATTACTTAAATCTCAGGTGAGAATGTCCATGCCCATTTTACTAGGACCCTAACCTTTATTTAATGAATCAGTCATCCAGCAGTTAGTAGTCTAGGTTCTACCATACACTGCCAGTCTCAGCAAATATCCTTGAAAAAGATCTAGTAACAGAGACAGAATCACGTTCAGTTTTAATACTACAAAGGACATTATTTTCATAGTCCAGTAATTTTATGGCAAGCATAAACCTCTTGGAGGAAGGAATAGTAACATATCTGAACATTATTTTCATTGGAATAACTTCAATTCCAACAAGATTTAAAATAAGAGGACATGAGATTTAAAAATGATTAAATAAGGAATAAAAGGCAGAGGATATACATAACTAAAATGACTGTCTTTAAAGAAAAGCGTCCGCTGAGCAACTCTGGAAGGGACATCCAGGTGTTAACCAAGGTCAGTTAGTTACCTTAATTATTTTCATACAGCAGTACATTTTATAGTCCAGGATTTTGGAGCTTGATATCTCACCAACCCTTTAAATTAACGTTAGCTTCATTTTACAAATGGGTAAACAGAAGTACAGGGATGAGAACAGCATCATAGCACCACTGCAATTTGCCTCTTGATTCTGAGTGTGCTGAGAGCTGCTCCACCTAATTTCCCAAAGGTCTCTAATTCCAAATGAGCCAAACAGTAGCTCTACAGATGATGCAGCTGTGAAAATGTTTGACTCATCTTAAAATACATGTTCCAGTTGAGGTGTTATGAGAGCTCCCCAGCATCCTGATCCTGACCCCTTCCCCAACCACTATTAAAGTTTCCCCTTCAAGAACTGGGACCTCCCAAGCTGGAAAGCTTTACATGACTGGCAACAGTAAAGGTGATTTAAATGAATATTACATTTTCATTAATTTTAAGGCTATTTTCCTATTCCTGAGTCGTATACAGAGATCTCAGCATGACTAAGCAGCAGACTCCAAGGTTTTGCCTCCAGAGTTACTAACCTTTCGGACCTGTTGAGCTCAATACTTGTGTTTCGTATGACAAAATCATATACATCACCTGCCTCAGGGAGCAACGTGGAGATGGAGCTCTTGGACCGGCCAGGACGAGAGGAGAAATGGCAGGTTCCTCCGGACCTACACTCCTCCCTGACAAATGGAGTTTGCATAGGGGCCGTGGAGCCAGACGTGCCTTAACTGCATCTGCTGCAGTCAGGGACTTGGATGTTAGTCCCATACCAGCCCAAAAACTGGCAAAAAATGCCATAACCAGAAGATAAACTGCTGGAGAGCCCATTCAGAGAATGAAAGGTTTTTTCTTTAGTTTGCTACCTGATGGTACTTGGGACCTTAGCTACCTTGGAATTTGCAGTGCTTCAGAGTGGTCTTGGTCAATCTGTCAAATACACATACTTATCTACACAGCATTAACTTCCTATTATTCTGTCATGGATGACAGTGACTCACCCACATGCTTATCATCACTTCCAGGGCTCCAATCTTGAATAACTCAAACATCATCATTTGTCTACACTATGTTTATCTAGAGTAAGATTTCTAAAAGAATTCAGAAATGAAGTCTTATTGAAAAACATAGAATCCATTTCCCTAAGATCTCAGCACGACTTCAGAAAACCCATCCCATTTACCTTTAAATAGCAAAAAGATTTACACCTTATGTTTTGGTCAATGACAGTAGAACGCCTGAACTTTTGTGGCCCTAATATTCAGTAGTACTGTCCACATACCTGTGAAAGAACACTATGAAGATCAACACACATGCCAAGAGAGGATGCAAAAGATAAACCTGTAATATATCCCTGCACCAAATGTTCTTGTACTTTCATGGAATTTCTCATTTCCATATCCTGGAGATCTAATGGATTTCAGAGTGGAATAAGTAACCAGGAATAGCTATTGTACAGTCTTGCCAAATGAAAGTGAAGGAACATTTTAAGCCTGAACAACATGGTTATTCAAAGACTGAATGAGCAAGTGTAGCGCTGAATGCCAATAAAGGGTTATAAACAAGAGTGATGTCCATTTGCATGAACCAAATACCATGAAGCTAATAAAGTTGCAGATAAAGAATCAAACTGAAATTAGTGCTGAACTCTACCACAAAACAAACAAACAAAAAAGCCGCAAAACAGAGTCACACTACTCTCTCTTTGGTAGCAAATCAAGAGCACTTACCATTCTTGGAGAGAATCACAGCCAAATATTCATGAAAGTAGGTGTTGACATACAGCAGAAGACTTGGAGTATGTGCTGTGAGGAAGCTGAATGCAATGTTTTCCTTGGACATGACAGCATCCGCATAAATGGCAGAACTTGAAGTACTTGCATTTTTTGTGACAGGATAAGGTTCTTGGAAAAGATAAGTAACAGAAGTGCCAGCTTCAAATAATGCAGAAACCTCTGAAAGCATATACAAACCAAGGGGAAAAAAATCAGATACTGCATTTTCCAATCTTTTAGGCAGTCAGGGACATGAGCTGATTGCCTCAGAGGTGCATACCTCAGCAGCACACTGCAGAACGTCCCAAAGCCACCTGGCACCCCTGTTTCTTATTTTGGACAAGTGGATTGTCCTTCCTTACAGTAGATTTGTCTGACACAGAAGTATGGTGTATGGAGAAGGTCTCCAACTATTTCAGTCTTTTCCATGTCTGACACAGAAGTATGGTGTATGGATAAGGTCTCTATTTCAGCCTTTTCCGATAGTTGATACGTATGGTTGTATTCTCTATCTTACCTGCCACACTAAAGACAGCAATATATTTGTTCTTTCCCATTTTCTCTTTAAAGAAAGCTGTTATTAAAGCAATGTAGACCAAAAGGCAGCTACTGCGGGAGAAATGTCGCTCCAAAGAGAGAGAAGCTTCTATCTGCACGTGCTGGGCTCACACTTGTGTTTCCAATAAGCACACAATAAAGTTTGGCCACAGAATACATACGGGTGACAAGAGCAGCTTTACTTGTATGAGGCACAGTAAAGTCATCATGCTGATGTCTTCTGCTATAAGCTGATTGCAAGTATTGTCTCCATAAAGCAGCTCCATCCATACAGCAGCAAGGCCACCTCCTAACACAATGCTATGCAGGTGTTCAACATGCCTCTTGTGACATTGGTGCCAAATCCTCAGCTCATGTAAGTGGGCATAGTTCCATGGACTGCAGTACAACTAGGCCGATTTACACCAGCAGATGATGCGGCCCATGTAACAAACCTGGAGAATTTGCAAAGTGAGGTGCAGCTGTTGAAATTAAAATGCTCACATTGCACTTAATTGCTATTCAGCACAGTTTCTGCAGTTTCTTCCTCTCTTGTTATCTAAGCTGGATGCTCTTTATTCGTCCTGCTCCTTGCTGTGGTCTAATGCATATATCTCCTAAGAGTCAGCAAATAGGTTCAGTGAGAACATGCTCATCAGTCCAAACTGTTCAAATCAATTTTCTCCTGAATGATGCATGCTTACTTTTAACATCTCTTAGGGTGGCCAAGTTCAGCATTATTGCAGGGATGGCAACAAGCATAAAAACACTATCCGTCTTTGTCACCAACTGTTCCCACAACTAAGTTCTCAAAAATTTATTAAGGTGGAGTAGGCTAGATCAGATTTAAAAGCAAGCACACCAAATATTCAGCCATGAGCAGACAACCTTGATGGGAATTTTCAGCCCCAACAGATAATGCTTAGGCCAAGTTACATGTAACTGAATACAGAAATCACACTGGGATATAGTTGGTGCTATTAATAATTTCTAAGGTTATCACTGAAGTCAATAAGATGAAAGATTACAGCTCACTTTAGGCAAATCCTTAATGCAGTTCAAGGGAAATCTGGTATCAGAACATATTCTTATAACGGCGGGGACAACACCAAGCTGACATGAGTGAAACCAGTCAGGATTTAGAATGAAAGGATGCTCCTACCTTCTTTGCAGAAAGCTCCTTCATAGGCTGAGTTGGTACAGTCACAGGAATAACCATTATATTTCTCCACACATTTTCCTCCATTATGGCACAGGTTACCGTAACTGCTGCAGTGTCCTGGACATCCAGGCTTAACACCAGAAGTCATTTTAGCTCTCTCTTCAAGGTCAAGTTTTTGCCCATTTAAATGTAGAGATCGGATGCATCCCAAAAAACCTTTTTGTCTGGAAGCTGTTCCTCCTGAGAAAGAGCGAGCAAAGGACATGCATTCACTGATGACTCTGTAAAGTAATCAAATCCTGAAGGACAATCTAGAGGTACAAATAGGAAGCCATGGAGTTTAAAAAATATTATCTATCAATGCATACTGTGGCAAAAAATAACAGATGGGCAGCCCTGGAAACTAAAGGTCTCTATTTATCATTATGAAAGGAATAAAAAAGGTATGTGACAATTTCTTCTTACCATTCTTCTCTTTTCAGCCTTATCTACTGCCTTATCTGGCATTTAGACTGCAGATTCATTTGGAAACAGATCAGTTTCTTTATCATAAGTCTACATATCACCTAATACATGAAACACCTAAACCTAAAATGTTTTTTTCTATTTGCTGCCATAGTACACAATATAAACAACACTCTAATCCTAACAACAGGTGAGTTACCCATGCCGATTAGTCCATACAAATATGCATTATGTTCAGCATCAGGCCTGCGGGCTAAGGGGAAATGACTTTGGAAGCAGAATTTATGCAGGACTGACCAACATGATGTTGCATGTGAATGTCTATGGTAAAGCACAAAATGTGAGTTTGGGTCACAATTGTGTCATTTATTTCAACTATTAAACATAATTGCATTCCTTTGTGAAGATCAGAGCTGTATGGATCTAGGCAAGAAGGCAGTTCTACAGGCGATTATTATCTGCCCAACAAAATTGCTAACAGTGATGACTCCTTTCCCTTAGGAGCTGGTCTCTGAAAACAATAATAAATAATGAAGACGATAAGACCATTATGATTATTTTCCTCTTCTAACATTTGACAAGTATACAGCTTATTGGAGACCATCTACCTAATCCTAGATCCACATAGTATTTACTCATCAAATCTGTTTATTATTTCAGCATTTCAACAGTTTTCCTTCAACTGGCTAGAACTTCCTCCAGAGTCAGTGATGCTGCATTGGCCTATTTTTGTGCAGAGCTTGGTGAAGTTGATACTATATGGCTTATAAGTTTGAGCTTGTTCTTTCTACTGCAATTGCTTAAAATTAATATAAGAAATATATTCAGGTGTGGTATATCCCTGCTGTGACTGAGGATTATAAAGCAACATAAATCATTTAGATACACAAGAGTCACTGAAAAAAAAAATGCAGAAATGGGTTGCTAATTTTTAGGCTGCTTTAAAATTCCAGCTCTTCTCATTTTGAGCAATCCCCAAACTACCGACAATGAAAAATTCATTTTTCCCTTTCTTTTTACACACACAGAGAAAGCTATCTCAGAAGCCTGATGCATAGCTGGTATGTCCCCATGTCGGCCTTAAGCAGACTTTCTGTCTTTATTCTAAATAATTGTAAGCATAGTCATAGAAAGACTCCTGGTACTACCTAGATAAATACATATGCATCTTGTAAGTCAATTACACATTAAATACACCAGCTAATCATACAAACAGTGTTTAACCTACACTTTTGTCTCTTACTGACTATGCATAACTGAAAAGACCATTTCCTTAATGGAGAGGAACTGTAATTGAATACAGGCAGGCAGGATGGCTCTTAACACGTTATTAAGTTGCATAGTGATGGAATAAAACAAGGACTGCAAATCTGAATCTTTCAGACTGTGTTGCTATGGATGACAGGGAGATGAAAGGAGAGGGATTGGATAGGACCACTTCCATTTTGACTTCCTTCGCTTTGCTCTTATCATCAGGTGGATCCAATAGGAAAGAACCTGTTTTCTATGGTCTATTTTGTACAACATCTATAAATCCATCCCCACAGCAGTGGAATCCTGGAAACATCCTGCAGTGCTGCTCTCCAACGTGCACCATGCGGTGTGCTGGCAGGCCTGGTCAGAGCAGATGCTGAGGTTCTGCTTCCCCAAGTGGAACATCCCCTGAGGATATGAGTGCCAGGCAGATGCCATGTCACAAAGTGCAAAAGTAGCCAACACCACTGAATCAAATATACAACAGGGCAATGAAAAGTGGCAGGACAGACCTGAATGGAGCACAGGCAATAAAGAAAGAAATGACCCCTTAATTCTAGTATCTCTTGTGATTACTATGAGTAGCATAAGCACATGGACAGATCCTGAGCTTTACCAGTTCCTTTTTATAGCATATTGATACATAAAAGAGGCCTCAAGGTAAACAGAAATCACCACCTGAATTCATCTCCCCAGGCGATGTCAAACCAGTGTGAACTCCCCTACCTGCAATGTGAATACTGGTTCCAGAACAGAAGTATTGTGGGTGCATTAGTGTGCAAATAAAGAGTTATGTCTGCTTTATGCTTCTCAAGGCTTGCGAGTGATCAAGGGAAGCTTTCTAACAGATAGCACTGTGCTTCCAAGTAACATAATATCATTTTACGTGTGTGATCTACTGTGTATAATCCCCCCAAAAAGAATCAAGACAAACTGACTCTCATATTGTGTGTATACGTTGACATCTCTCAGGCTACAGGAAAAAGATTATGGTTTTAAAGCTACATTGAACCTCCATTCAATCATCATCACAATGCAATGTGAAATTAATACAGTTCCTTCATCCTGAAGGATCAATAAAACCTTCCAGAATATAAATAAACTAAATTAAGTGTTGTCATTGAGCCTTATTTATGATGTTTACAAAATATTTGAATTGATTCTGGAGAAGGATCAACAACAACAAAAAACAGTTAGATCTTTATGACTAGCATGACTTCCACCATGGAAACAAAGTTCCATGTTTAAATGGAATGAAACAAGGAGATTAAATTAAAAGATATTAGGAACATTTTTAAAACAACAAATCTTGTCAGTTATTTAGGTCATTAAGAGTATATACGCTAATTGCAGCAACCTTTTAATCATCGTTAGTGCACATAGCGTTGCAACTGTAGAAACAAATACGTCATGCACTACGGAGGGGAGAAATACTATTACGGTCTGCTGTTTCTTTCTCCCTAACACTGTTAAAATGTTGTTAACACACTTGAGTTTCTTTTTTCAGATAGGATAAAATTTACTCCACATGGTTTAGGTTTAGATTTAAATCAGTTCCGTCATATTAGAGTCTGGAATGAGACCTTCAGTGCAAACAAATTAGGCCACAACGGCCTATGGCCAGACTTCTGCCATCTTTCTCAGCACCTGAGACAAACAGCACCAGAATGAGGAGGCCATTCAGGTTTCCATCCTGTCTAGCTACTCTTGGAAACACTGAAGGAAATCTAGAAACAATGGAAAATTAGGGCCTTCAATATGTATTTCTGAAGAGGCTAAAGGTTTAAAAAGGAGAGAGGTAAAAGCATATTCTTAGGAGCACCCTGGCATTAGCATCCATGTCCACTGATGAAGTTCTATCACTTCATCAATGTTTAAGAAAGTTTAAGAAATGCAAGCAGATTCATTGCTTCCATTCAAAGACTAGAAATTACTGCATACATAATTTACCAAGATCTCAAATAAACACCTCAAAATCTTCTTTAATTCTTTCTTAATTAAAGGGTCTGGATATATAGGTAAACTTTATTAAAGTATTGTATTGACAGACTGAAACTTGCTATGAAATTTCAGCTAAGAGAATACATTTTAAGGAAAGAATCAGTAATTAGCTATTCATGGCTGTGAATAATAAGCAGTTACAATCTGGAAGAAGGAATTACTCAGAAAGGAGTGTTCAGGTATAGAATAAGCAAAAGACCATCTGTAGTCACTCATTCTATTATCAAGGACAAGTCGGTACCAGTCTATGTTTCATTTGTATTGGAGATAGCAAAATAAACTATACAGTTTTTTTGTTTGTTTGTTTTTAACAGATCAGTTAAAATAGCTGTATTTTTTTGCTTTGACTCTGTTCATAGTCCTCTTGCACATACACTCTAGGGCCCTATGAAGGCTTTGACAGGAACAACTGAAGGAACAGGTCTTTAGTACATTTTGCAATCAGAAGGCTTTGCCCCAGAAACTTGCAGGAAGAACTAGTGCCTTTTACATTGCATCTGAACGAGAGATCATATCTACTACAGCAAATGACACAACTGAACAAGAGGAAATAGCTGAACAGAATTCTTTGGTACTAAATATATTTGAAGCCTAAAGCCTAAAAATATTATCTAATATACAAAACATAATTAATGCTTTGAGTGCAGAGGCAGTAGTATAGGATTTCTTTACATTGCCTATACTGGGATGGAAGAGGAGGAGACAGAAGAGGTTACCATATCTAAACTCAACAGTAAAACCACCCTATTGTCAAGTTTGGACATACAAGTATTGCAGGTATCCACAGAAACCCTTAAATGCTCCATACCTACAAATAACTGGCTGTTGAGCTGCAGACGGAAGTGGCCTTCTGCAGGTGCCTCCAAGACCTTCTTAGGGAGGCTGTCCACTTGCAGAGAGGTTTGCTTGAGGTTCCTCTCTGCTCGGACGTAGTGCCACTGATTGTCATTCAGTGGTGTGGGTGACTGCACTGTGGCTTCCACGGGGCCGTTTCCAACATCTACAGAAAAGGTGATCTCCTTGGGGGCTGGAATAGATACATAGGTGTAAAGAGAAAATGAAGGTCTGAATTAAATAGTGGTTTTGACATCAAGAAATCTTACATAAATACAGGGTCCATTAACTTTTATGCCAGCAAACAGTACAGCATCATTTACCTCCCATCTCCTACACAGCAGCTTTTATGCAAATCTAAGCCTGCGGCCTCGCTGAGCTCTGCTGTGATTATGGTTGGATGTGGATACCCATCTTTTTTTCTCCAACAATTACAGTGTCCTAGAAATGGGTGTTTATTCTCTTTTGGAAGTAAAAGTGCCAAATAATGTATGAAAGTCACACAGTGGTGGCAAAAGCACTTGGATAAATAATGCTAAGATGGTGGAAAGAACGAAGGAGCTCGAAAGACAAAATCTTTCAAAATGTACATACTTGGCAACCACAGAACTTGGCTGTTTGAAGTAGCAGAGAAAACTGCAAGCATTTATTTGCCTGACCCAGGAAGCCAAAAAAAACAAATAAACAAAAAAACAGATATGAAAGACTAGGAGAAAGACTAGTTCACTGATAAGCATATGTCACACATGCCTACAGTTAGCAAGTCTCCATTCTATGCTATAATCAGAAAGCAACAATCATATAGTCCATCTTGCTCTGCTGAAAGTCTAGAAGGGCCTATAACTCTTTTAACATTCTGTTCCCTGATTTTTTTTTTCTTGCGAAAATGCTGAATACAACCAGAAAGACCAAAGATCAGGTCCCACAGGCCACACGCCAACCAGAAGATAGTGGCTAGAAAATTCATTTAAAAAATGGTCTTTCAAGCCCAATAAATCGGTCAGGCCTGGTTTCAGAAGCTGCTTCTGAGATAGTTAAGGCAGGAAAGGCTATGCGGCTGGACAAAGATCTGTGCCGAGCCCCTGCATCTGCTGAAAGGCCATTTTCTTTCCAAGCAGCTAGACTGCAGAGCTTCCTTCACACAAGCCTTTTAGACTGCAAATTCCATCTGGCATCAAGAAACAGAAAAGCCTAAAGTTTAAAAGAAAAGACTTTCCTCAAACTTTTAAATAACTCGTTTCTGCATGTGTGTTTACTGGAGATATGAAAACATTCACTAAAGAGGCTTCTTAAGTGGCTTGTAGTGTGGGTCATATTTGACATCAAACTACTATTTTTATTTCTATAGCCCTGAAAATGAAAAACAGTACACCGAAGTACGACCAAATAGGACTTTGATGTGCAATTAACAGTAAATCATACCTCATTACCTTGTGATAATGCACCATGACATTTACCATTGGTTTAATGAATTGAAGGGCCTTGAGGCCCTATTTTATTAAATTTTACGTTGGGGTTATTATAGGCATATTATAAAAATGCATAGCACTCAGTTTGCTTTTCCTAAGCTTGACAGAATTTGGAATACAGGAGTCATATTTCATCTCCAAGTGACAATACCATTTTGTCACTTATAAATATTTGAAGTCATCAGAGCAGGGGTGAGGCTAAATCTTCCAAGTTCCTCACTCCTCTCTTTTAGACACTGAATTGTAATTACACTGCAGTAACTAATTCAATTTTAAAGTATTCAAGGCCCGTTACAACTGACTCGCCTTCCATCAGCCTCCTAGCCTTCACTAAGTCTCCCTTCGTAGTTGTACCAACAATACCAAATTCCTCTAAAGCACTGGATTTCTCAGAGATGGAATAAAAAAAGGTATCAACTCAATTAAAATGACTATCTACAGGCACACCTGCTCTTTCTTGAAAAAGAAAAAATGGTGAAAAATTGAAAGATGCGAAAGAAAATAAAGTCATCGCTTTATTCGAGAGAGACAAACTGAGTCACAGCAAAATTAAGTGTAATGAACAAGGCTATACAGGAAAACTCTAAGAAGAAAAGAAGTCGACCCTAAAACATTTGTGTCCAGTCCAGTGAGTCTCCAATTTATTGTCTCTACAGGAGAGAAGAAAAAGCATCCTCTCCACTATCCTATGCCTGTCACATTTGGGCATATGAAAAATACACTCAGTGGGAAAACTTACAGCTTAGTTCAACCCGTATGAAGTCTTTAATTCCCAGATTTTCCAAGAAGACACCAGCCAGGGCAGTGGTTTTGAAGAAGAAGGAGATGTCCGCGCTGACCTCGGCGTGGAAGGTGGGGAAATGCAGGTAGGAGGCCTCAGTGTTGAAGGAGGCGGCGTTCCAGAACTGCCCTGCAAATGACAACCCCCTTCTCTATAGTTAATGGGCACAGGAGAGCAGCTGTGAGCTGCCCTGGAAAAGGGTCCTTTTAGAAACAACAACAACCCACAACTTAAAAAATAAAATAAAAAAATAAATAAAAAAGGAGAGGGGACATTCTGTACCTATGGAAATTGAGAGGAACTGGTACTCACTGTCTCCATAGCAACGCAAAGGGCCCATTTTCCAAGCAGCCTCTGAATTTGATCTGTTTGTGTCAGTGATCACTATCTGAGTTACAGGCAAATGGTCTTTGAAAGCAAGGAGGCCAGTGTCATTTGTCCTAGATTATAATAAACAAACAAAAAAGAAGACAGATAAACCACAGACAAAATCCTCAGCTTTCCTCATGCAGGTAGCAGTTGAAAGACAGGCTGTCAAAGATGAAAGGTCTTTACAAGATTACCTAGAAGACTTATGACTAGTTCCTATTGCTTCAGATACATACAAGCACACATGTCTACATGTGATCTATGCTCGTGCATAACACTAGACCCTCGAGTACACTGCATGTTGATACATGATGCTGTCTGGCATGGCCTATAGCTGTGCTTTAGCTATGCAGAATGACGGCAAAGCAGAGCATCTCTCTGACAAGCATTACTGGAAAATATGCTCTGTCTTACAGTAATGAGATTTCCTCAGCAGGATGAATTTGATGTGGATCTGGGATAAGCCCAAGTCTGCCTTCTGTTAAGCTAGCCAGTGACAGGCAGGGCATTTACGCTGGCTTTGAGTTTTATCTCAGCAGCAGAAGGACACACCATACTTGATCCTGCATACCATGAGCATGGAGCAGCGGACTGTACTGGATCCAGGTCCGGGAAGGTTAGTGAACAACTGCCTTTGCACGGTCAGTTTGCATTGAAGCAGCTCTTCGCAACACATGCCTGCAAGATTTTTGGTCAAGCAAATGAAATACTACAGCCTGATTTACTGTACTGTTGACCTACAGTCTCTGTATCATCTGGAATTATTCTGGGACTAGCTTTCACATGGCTTCACATGGTTTCTAGATTATCATTATTTCTTTTTTACTCTGAGCCACAAGTCTACTGGGACTGCTGGGGCATCTGGCATCGCAGGCAGAACCCCAGGCTACCTATAGACTTCTCATCATTTTACCTGTTTTCCAAAAACCTGTTTTCCAATGTCCTCTCATTACAGTTCCAGCTGCAGAAAGGGACACACGAGTTCCTCAAAGAAACAATATAAATGATACAGCTGTGCCATTCCAACACACAACATCGTATGCTTGCTTAGCTGAATAAGTCTTCTACTCCGATTAATAACTTAACAGAATTAGGAGTATTCTGATATTATTGATGTAACCCGCATTCATTTAATTTATTTTTCATCACTTCTAAATACAAGTAGCACAGTTAAGCATTGAGAAAATCCATGGGGCAAAGGAGATGTTCCCTTTTCAATCCTAATGTTTTGTTCTTGCTTCAGCATTTGTCTGACACAGAAAATGAAAGATAAAGTGCTGAAAGATGAAATTCTCAGACCCCAGGCAGAGCGATGACACTTTTACTTCTGAGTCTGTATTGAAGTTTTCACTCTGCCTGGAGTCTGGGAATTTTGGGGAAAAGGTACATGGTTCCCAAATCTCTTCATGGAGTCTCTCGACAGGGTACTTATATAACCTGTTGTATCAACTTTTGAAAGTTAATATAAATGCTCTCAACAGATTGTAAAGTTACCACCAAAGATATCTATAAGAAATGAAATAGCAACATTTTTAAGAAATCTACTGCACAGCTCTGAAAGCTGCATTGATTCTTAGATATTTTGCAAAGTTCTTTTATATCAAACTTTATGACTCTGAGTTTTTACTAGTTATATGCCAATGTCATGGAGAACTTTAGTAGCATAACTCAACTGTGAGAAAGAAAGATATTCTAGAACTAATGAAAATCATCACCTTTATGTCAATGCCTTGAAAACTCAATCAATTTCCTGTTGGACCTCAAACAGCACATTAAAGATATTTTATTCTCTCACACATGGAAAGAGAATAAGTATGTACATTTACGTATTCTCACACAGACACTTTGAACTAAAGCCTACTAAAAACATTCTGCCCTCCAGAGAAAGTGTTAATGATGGGGAACAACTTACATATTTTTACAGTTTAGCATTAGTATCATGGTGGGAAAGTAAGATTTTTTGTGTGTGAAAAATCAGCACCTACGATGTTTCAGCTAAGAAAAGCCAAAAGAAAAAGAAGAAAAAAAAAGAAAAAAAAGAAAAAAAAAGAAAAAAAGAAAAAAAAAGAAAAAAAAGCTCAACAACAACAAAAAAGAGATCTGGAGACACCACGCTGTGCCTCGTGGGAGATAAAGCTCAAGTGGTTTGCTTTTCTGGTCTTAAGCCAAACAATATCAGACTCCATTTCTTACTAAGCACCAGGATTTCTCTCTTGTTTCTGTGCTGCATCATGGCAGCACCTGAATTACGGGAAAACTGCCTAAGAGCAGAGCAAGAGAGCCTCATAAACCTGAACAATCATTTTCTGGAGGCACTACTGCACCAACACAAACACAAGTATTCCAAAGTTTGGACAAAATATTTGGAGATGTTGCTGAAAAAGGTGTGGGGGAATCGCTTTTAATCTATTTTAACTTTCAAAGAGAAGTGACATTTTCTAGTAGAGAGCATTTGTGCTCTATGGGCATACAGACTTACATCTTTCAAATAAAAATAAAGGCTTGAGACATTACTTTTGTACTTGTTCACAGAGCTAGCTTTTACATATATGTGTTTGAATCTAACATTTAACACACACTTAAAAACAGACTGCGTTTGGTTTTCCACAGCTGCTTCTCAGCTTAGCCAAAAACACTGCTTGATTTCCCATAGCAGGTTTTACACTTGCCACCACTTCCACTCCTGGTGCCTGCTGTAAAATGTTGCAGCCCACTTCCCAGAAGTACCAGTCAGAAGTGTAAGCCAGAATCTGATTGCACACAAAATAGTCACTTTCATCCTGTTTTTGATAGCAGTTGCTTCTGTGTAGGTAATTTTGCAAATAAATTAATAAAATCCAGAAGTAGACCTTCTTTCTACCTTGTTTCAGAACAGCTTAAGAGGAAGAAATAGAGTATATTTCTATGTGAAAAGCTCCCTCAATGAACAGCTCTTACTCTGAACTCTTCATGTTAGAAGTAGTATCAAGTTATATTTTCCACAACGGAAAACAAAGCAAAAAAAACCCAAATCCAACAATCCCTTTAAATCATCAAATTATTTTTAGCTGTGGGTATTAATGCCAGTGGATGCTATGTCTGCATCTACCCAAAGTACTTCCTCAACAAGCTGTGAAAAAAGCTAAAAAAAACCCCCCAAAAAAGTAAAAAAAAAAAAAAAAAAAAAAAAAAAAAAACAGGGCAAAATAAAATAAAGGGCAAAATAAAACAGTTTCACTGCAAGTACGGAAATGTAGCATCTGGATCATTTAAAATGTAGCACAGGTAGTCTTACCTTTGAATGCTGAATACCTCTTTTGATGAGGACATTATGGGACTTCCTTTTTTCCTGTATCCTAATAGCACTAAAAACCCCCACCTTGCTCTATGGTAACCCAACAGCATAAACCATCATAAACTGGTAAACTCTAGGTAGTTGCTTCTATAGTTTTTCTAACAGATGGTAGAGCTGTGGTGCCATTAAATATAATTTCTTCTCATACGGTCGCCTATTGGCATGCTCCCTTATTGTATATTAATGAAAACTCTGCTGGGCTATGAGCCTCTATAGCTCAGATATTCAGTACAGATTTTCATAAATACACTGCATTTGCGGAAAAGAATACTATCATCAGCAGATGTCAATGAACAGCATGAGGAATTGGCCATTAAAAAAGGCTTCCATCAGATGAAGTTTTGAGCCTTGTGCAGGACAGATCATTAATAATCCAAAGGAACACATTTTAATTACTCTCTCTCTTACCAGCTGCATCCAAAAATGTTTTACCGAGTACAATAACACGGAGCCATGATAAAGAAAAAACAGGAGCAGAAGGCGACATATTTAACAGGTGAAGACAAGAGGCAATGGATTTATTTCGCTGCAGAGAACTGGATAATGCTGGTAACAAAGCAACTCATGCCAACTCGGGGCCGCTACCCGGCAGCAGCATCTCCAACTGCTGACAAATGCCGTCCTGCAGGCAGGACAGCCCCGCAGGCCAGCTCACCCCCAGCAGCATTTAGTCAGCGGCTCCCATGCACAACGGGGCAGACCAGCCTGTCCTGCTTGCGGGCAGCCGTCGAGGGCAAGGCAGGCGCTGAGCAGGCAAACCCTGGAACTTACATCCCGGCTCTGGAACAGAAAACTTCACACGCCTACAGCTCGGTCAGAGAGGGCTCCCTTAACTCCTGCAGCGCTCCCCAAACAAAAAAAGTCAGGTATATTCAGTACAGGCCTGGGGGGGCCAAAATAGGTCTGACAACAGTAGCAATAGCTGATTTTTTTATTGTTTTTTTTTCCATGTCCTGCCATTTCCTTGCTGACTGCAATCCCGCAACGGCACAGTAGAGAGGCGAATGCATGTTGCTTTGGAAATGAGAAGACTTGAAGGCTCAGTGTCCCAGTGAGGAAGGCTGTTCTGACAGATAAGAGAAGATGATGTTTGTATAACGTGAACAGTAAGATGACAGAAATGGAAAGATGACCAGACAAATATTGCTCAGAACTGACACTGCCCACCACACCCTTCTGAGAAGGCTGAGATTCCTACACAAAATGGCATCCAAAGGTACCATTTTTCACTTTGCAGAAACAAAAACTTTGAAGTTTCCCAAATTTACAAGGGAACATACAGTCAGTAAGAAGTAAATTTTATTCGACTGGCTATCAAGAGGTTGCATTTGAAGCAGAAAATGGATTTTAGACACTGAAAGACCAAAGTAGCAAATGGACTCCAGAGTGGTCACACACTACAATGGCATGAAAGAGGTGCCTCCCATTTAAATAAAAGATTTGGTCCCATTTAACCAAAAGGTTTGATAAGCACCAAGAAGCTCATTGCCAAGGAAGGAGAATTTTGTCTGAGATGAAAAACAAACTGGGAGAGTTATTTAAGCATCCAGTGCATCACTGGAGTGGACAGAAAATAACACAACCCTGCCTGCTTTTCAGCAACGCTTTACTCTCTACATCATCTTAACACCTGTCTCCAGTAATGAACATCAAAGGTTCACCAGTTCACTTTATTTTTAAGATAGTGCAAATCTTATAGAAAGACAATTACTTTCAAGGTAAGCCCTGGAAGACATGGCAAATCTATGTTCTCTCCACAGAATTTGTTCCAACAGTTTAATATTCTCACTGTTGGGGAATAGGGATGATATATTTGGATTAAATTTAGCTTTAGAGCTTCAAACTACTGAAACTTACTTTTTCCCACCCACTAGATAAAAGAGCTTTCAGTAGTCAATAATTTCTCTTTCTTACAGGTATGAACAGACTATGATCAATTCATTTTTAACATCTTTCCAGACCCCTTTTAGGGTCAAGGTTAGAACATTACAACAGGATTGTGCTGATTTGTGTCTCAGTGGATGACTTCTCCCTGACTTCTCCCACTCCCCAGTAAATATTGTGAAGTTGTTCCACTATTCTGTCGGATTGGAATTAGCTGTCACAGAGTATGGAAGTATAGTAAGGAAAGGAGTGAGGAGCTGGATGGAAAAAGATACTTTTCACTAGAGTGATTTAGTTAACACAAATGAAAAACAGTACAAACTTCCCCATATAGCACAGACCTAATTATATACTCCTCTTCATCTGGCTAGCAAAACTCCAGAGGGACTAACTTAGCATCATGTCAAGCAGGAGACCAGAGTTAGCAGCTTGCTCAGGTGTCTGCTTAGATATCATTTAAAAGTCAGCATGCCTGGAAGTGCATATTGTGCTCTGCCAAACACCTGGCTCGGACTATTTTTTTCCCCCCAGCCCTTTTTTTTTTTTTTTTTTTTCTTTTTTTCTTTTACTTCTTTCTCTGATGTTTTCTCTCAGTTTTTTTTTTCTTTCAGTTGTTCTTTATTTTGGGTTGGTTTGCTTTCTCTCCTCTCTGCTCAGAGAGAAATTAGTACATTTTTCTTCACTAAAGACCTACCCTAGGAAAACAAAGTCAAAGCAAAATCCTCAGCTTTCCTCCTCTGAGCAGTCTGATCTATCTAAGAGGAATGAAAATGATTTTCTTGTTTTCCACTCTGCAGCACCAATTTTATTTCATGTGAAGGCAAACAAATGCATCTACTACTTCCTCTAAAATATATAACAGGTTCACATATATTCACAGTTCAGC